TTATTATTAAACACACTTGCTCTAGCACTTTCGAGGTCTGTCTTTGAGTGACGTTGAAGTTACAATTTTTAAAAAATTAGTGATTGATTTTATGGCTTTCTCACAACACTCAACAGACTGGTACTCCACTAATTGAATTGTCGATTGCCATTGGAAAATTTCTAGTAAGCTTTCTATTGGGCACTGAAAGCAACCACAAAGCGGTTGTTACACTCTTCTTTATCCTTCTACACAATTATGATAAATCTCTTTGCTGAAATCAGTGGCGTTGCTTGACCACATCGAAGGAAAAATCCTCCTACGGATATTCTCTTGGTTAGTAAAATAATATAAATGATAACAGTCACCGTTTATTAACCTTTTTTTCGGAACTATTTCTGAATCACTTTACAGCGGAATCTTTAGCTGCAAAATCTGCCCTGCACATGATGATTAATATGTCGGTGCTTAAGTGCTCAGGAGGGTCAGCTATCAGATGTTACAATAAGGCATAAATGCTAATTTTGTTTGGTCGAAAGCATACGCGACAATGAGACTATAAGGCAGCCAAAGAAGCTTGTTTTGTAGAAAATGTTGGATACAAAATATATGGTTCAATAAATGATATGACGATAAATAATAATATTTTCAATTTGCAGTAGATCCTGAAAGTCTGAAGACTTTATTCAACCCTCATAACGAGGTTGAGACTAAATCATGATAGATTCGGAGACTTTTTCGGAATAGGAGTCATTGAGAATAATTGTTGCGACCATGTCAATACCAAAGTAGCAGATTTAAACCATATTTTCTTTCAGAATTGAGCCCCATGTCCCTAATTTAATAGAAAGATTTATTTTGTAGGATCAGATATCACTTCCAATTCAGCTGTCATCATTACTAAGTTTAACAGAAAGTCCAGTCTAGATAAAATAGATGAGTTTACAGAGTAACTAGTGATATAAAGCACCACGTAAGACCAATTATAAAAATGTGTGGCTAATGGAAAACCACCCCCTTATTTTAGTACATACATAGGTCTCATTCACGTGTAGTAGCTGTGCCTGTTGCCTAAACGCCAAGACACTTGAGCTATATGGTTTGGCTTTCATGTGTTGTAACATCTGCATCAGAGATGGCACTAGGTCATTTACAGTCTCTATACTTAAGCTGTAAATTCTATATATCCTGTCTGTCATTGTGCTATTCCTCCATAGGTGGCATTCACGGCGTGTGCGCGTGGCGTAGATTACCGACTAGCTAGTACGCAAGTTGACATAATTCCAACTTTCAATGACGTTATATCGAATTATTACGTTATATCAGCGTGGTTTATTACTCGGTACCCCGAAACTAGAGGGTATAGTGTTATTTCGGGCATGTGTAACGAACTCGCCACACTAAAAGGCATTTTTTGATTGTGCATTGATTCTATGGGAAAGAAGGAGCTTACTATGCGTGCAGTCAATAGGTAACTCAACAGCAGAAAAGGCAAGATGGGGCTTGAAGGTGGACGTCACGAACGTCTGTGTTCGAAGCCGATATTGATAACGTCTATACCGGAATGTTTACGTAACAATACTGAAGAGTTATAAATACAAGCACATGTAACATGAATCGTGTTATCGCACTAACAATTAGCGCGTGCAGCTAACGTAAAGTGTAGCGCTTTTATACTGAATAACAGTAGCCACGGGATAGATTCGTCAGTTTTCACTTGACTCTGATATGAGAGCTTGTTGATTAATTGTTGCAAACTGTCAAAGCTACACTCCACGGCTACTGCTGTTCAGCTTAAAACTGCTGCACTGCTGGATCGCCTTAAATTGGCTGAATCTTTTTACATTTTGAGTATAAGTTTTTTGACAAAATGTTTATATTACTTTAGTGATGTACTTTACTCATAAAGCCGACGTTTTCACAGTTATTTGAGGTCCTCGTCAGAGCAAATGAGTGTTTCAACAAACCCGTGACAAGGGATGTAGTATATTCGTCTATGTCACAAATATATCATTAAAAGCAGAACAAAATGCTTGTTTTGATTTATGTATCGGTGATTTAGATAAATGTACTACAACCCCTGTGACGTATTTGTTGCAACAGTCTGAAGAAGACATCAAATAAATTCCGAAAAGTCGGCTTTAAGAGTAAAATGCACGATTAAATACCGCATTATAACACAACACCCGAAGATTAATACAAGTAACGTGTTTCACCTACTGAGGTAAAAATTTGCCTTTGTTTTAAAACATTTCTCTTATTTAGGAGATTCCATTATAATGGCAAAAATACTTCTGCACAAAATGTCTTATAAAGGAATTGCTACATATGGATGCTCAGTTAGAATAGCTTTCGTCAGATGGCGCTACTAATGCTCTGTAATTCCGATCGTATATCACTCATAATCCATGTGTATAAATCGTGCAAGACTGGTTATTGGACCTCTTGCATCTCACAGCTATCCCCGAGAGAGAGAGAGAGAGAGAATTTTTGAATCCTATTTCCATACTTTTGCGAAAAATATCGATACGACCGAGTTCAAATATCATGTCTACATCAAGTTAAAGTATGTTATAAAAAGTTGTTTATTTAGACAATATCATTTGATAACTTTTCTACCAACCTTCTTCTGTCACGTCTTGGTTGCTCATGACATGTAAACAGTGGTGTCCCGTCGATATGTGAAATAATTTGGTAAAACTGAACAGTTGTACATGGTTGACTGTCTTTTTGATCGAAGGGATGAAAGCATCATGTTTAGTTTCATTCAATGGCAAGTGGAGCACATTTACTTTACGACTGGGTTATTAAGCGTGAACTGAGATTCCTAACAGTTCCAACTGATAGCAGCTATGTGCTTTCCGCTGTGGTCGATTCCGGTACGACAGATGGCTCTTTGCGCTGTCCTATGTCGAAAGAATTTGGTACTCAACGGCAGAGATAATGTATGATAGACCATCACAGATTAATGCAGTACGGCGCCACTGACTTCACGGATGTTATTTATGATTCACTGAAAGAGGCATTCAGATAGTGCTCGCACGAGCTTTTGTGAAATATCGTGTATTTCTAATTTTTCCAAAGATATCGTAATGATTAATGATCGTTCGGGATTTTGAGAAGCGGCCGAGAAAGTAGGCGAGAGAAGAGAGACGAGAGTTTATCAAATAAGTAGCTATTAATTACAAAACGGCGGTTCGTTTGTAATTGCACGAGGATTAGTGGATCTTCGTGACTACCGTTGGACAGATGGGATTACCTTTTAGTTTTGAATCAGAATTCCAGGATGAAACAAATTGACGCTAGCTGCGCTTCCCCAGTTTCACTCAGAGAAGCTTTGCAGGTGCGTGGCTGACTCCTTCTTTGGCAGCAAGATTCAGTAGTCATAATAAAAAGACTTTATTCATAATGTTTGGGTAAGATATACGCCGTAATTGAAGGGCTTGGGGCGACAAGGAATCTTATCTAGATAACGCTGTAGTTATACGCTTTACGTCTCTGGAAACACATATCCTGCTTAATTTAGATCGAGACGCTACAGTGGGCTTACGTTTTGAGGAGCAAAGATTTGATGACGATAGAATCTGAAACGAATATGACGAACTTTCTTAGAATAAATCTTTCTTTAAGATACTCTGGTTTGGTGTCTTATTAGTACGATCAGGAGCTTTAATAGAAATGGCTCTCAAAAGGGTGTTATTAATATTAACTCATCATCACCAGAAACTTTAATTTTACCGGGAGTGCTTAGACCACTCCTTTTTACTCTTCACATTGCTAACGTAGACATACATAGTGTTAAAATGTTGCAGTTATTTGCCTATGATTCTCAATTATACAACAATTTCAATAATGACAAAACTTTAGTTGGAGAATATCAAATAAATGAGGATCTAAAGGTTGTGCTTTTTACGCAAAAAGACATGACCTCCGTTGAAGTCCTACAAAATCAAAAGTTATCACATACTTTCTAACAAAAAAAACAATTAGGTACACGCCCCTTTTTTTCTATTAACCTAAGTAAACCAGTCTCTTAGAATATACCTGTATATACTCGTATATATATATATATATACATGGCGTTTGGAGGGTGCATTTACAATGCCTAATTAATTTACATTTTGCCACAGTTTTAAGGAGAAATAATGTTTTTTCTTCATTTGACAAAATCCCCAGTTTCTAAATTTGAGTTTCAACATTTGATACGAACAGCTGAAAAACAAGTAAAAGCAACAAACTTCCTTACATGAATGGAAAAAAATGTTAAGTCAACTGTACAATTAGCAAAAAAAATAACACACAAGAGTACGGGGTTTTTAAACGTGATTAAAAACTTCTCTAGTTAACAATCCTTCTAACGGTATGCCACATGTAACATAAATAAATAGATAACACAACAAAACATTAATTTATTTTCAACGATTCGTGATAGTGGATGCAGCCAAATCATTCCAATTGTAGTGTAGGGCAGAGCGGGGTCTTTTGAGCCGCGGGGTCACGTGCGCCACCTATAGTATCACTAACACGCTGCGCATTATATACAAGTTGGCAGCATTAGACGAAGTGGGGGGGTGAGCAAACCAAGCCCACGTTGCTTTAGTCACCGGCCGGCGTTCGTTCTGGATGTGAGTGAGTGATGTCGTAAATTTGTTGCCAAAAGTAAAAAATATCGCTCCACTGTATTTTGGGCTATACATTACAAGTATCATCGAATGGTATTCAAGTAAGTGTATTTTGCTTTCAATGTTGTTACAGTTAATGGCTGTTGTTACAAAAGTAAACTATTTCCAAAAGGTTTTTAGTTATGAAACCATATTTACGAGAATTTAGGAAAGGGGTCATTTGAGCCAAAACGAAGGGGGTCGAGTGAGCCATGTTCAAGTGACCCCTCACTTTTGTTGTGATGTTTGGTTTTACTGTTTACAACATGCTATATGTAATATGGTTAAATACTATGCCAAATCATTGCTCCGTAATTATGTCGTATGCTTGAATATTGCTACATTGTTTTTTTATTTCAGAATGCGAACTTACAAAAGAAAAACTGACCGAGCTCATATTAGTAAAGATTTGATAAAACAAGCTGCAAATGAAGTAATAAATGGTACAAGTATCCGTAAAGCAGCTAAAAATAATAAAATAGACAGAACCACGCTTTCGAGGTATGTCAATAAATTAAAAGCTACCCCTGATTCTGATGTGTTCATGGAGTATGCAAACCCTCGCCAAGTTTTTTCGAATCAACAAGAACGCATATTAAAAGACTACCTCTTACAAGTGGCATCTATATTTTATGGTTTAACTCCATCGGATGTACGTTTCCTTGCTTATGAATGTGCCGTTAAATATAACCTACGAGTACCAGAAAATTGGCATACAAATAAGCAAGCTGGAAAGGATTGGCTAACCGCTTTTCTCAAAAGGAACAGTGCACTATCTATTAGGAAACCAGAGGCGACCAGCTTAGGAAGGGCGACATCATTTAATAAAAAAAACGTCAGTCTTTTTTATGAAAAACTGGCCGCAGTAATGGACAAGTATAAATTCTCACCTTCCAGGATATGGAATATCGACGAGACTGGTGTTCCAACAGTCATGAAACCGGGTAAAATAGTAGCAGCTAAAGGAAGGCACAACGTGGGATCTGTAACGTCAGGAGAACGTGGAACTCTTGTTACTGTAATTGGAGCTGCATCAGCAATTGGAAATACAATTCCTGTTATGTTTATATTTCCTAGAAAAAGGTTTAAAAACTTCTTTGTAGCAAACGGACCACCTGAATGTATAGGACGCGGGAATGGAAGTGGTTGGGTTACTGATGACGAGTTTTTTGATTTTATGAGACACTTTATAAACTATGTCAAGCCATCACCAGAGTATCCAGTTTTATTATTATTGGATAACCATTCGTCACATCTAGCAATTAAAACAGTTGAACTTGCCAAGGAAAATGGGGTGGTCATGCTCTCATATCCACCCCATTGTACCAATAAACTACAGCCATTGGACATATCTGTTTACGGACCTTTCAAAACATATCTTTCATCGGCTCATGATGCATGGCTTCGTAATAATCCAGGTAAAACGATTTCAATTTATGAAATACCAAAATTAGTAGCATCAGCTCTACCGTTGGCAATGACCCCGACTAATATAATGAGTGGATTTAAGAAAGCAGGTATTTACCCTTTTGATAGCAATGTTTTCTCTGAAGAAGACTTTATGCCATCATATGTGACTGACCGTCCAGAGTTACAATCTCAAACACAAGAACTCCCAATAGCAGAAACAATTGGTACGGATGATGGGCTTGAAACAAGAGCACCTTCACCAAGTATTGAGGTGGAAATAGAAACATCTGCGATTTTGTCATCGCCCGTTTCTGTGCCAGCTACCTTGGAGTCGGCAATTGATAAGGAAAATCAAAAACCAAATGATATTCCGTCTACGTCTAGAGATATTCAATTTTCACCAGAGCTTGTGAGGCCATTACCGAAAGCAGGACCCAGAAAGCAACAAACACGAAGGAAGAAGAGAAGCTGTGCAATTTTGACAGACACTCCGGAAAAAGATGCGCTTGCTTCACAACAACGTAAAAGAAAATCAAAAACCAGCATGAAGATAGAAAAGTCCAAGAAAAGGGCAGTGAAGAAAGCAATTCTTATAAGCTCCTCAGAATCTGATGGAGAGAGTCACTCTGATAAGAAAATTCATAGAAAGCTTGGTAGGAAAAATAAGAAGACAAATATAAAAAAAAGACAACTTCCATCAGACACTGAAGAGGATGATTGTTTTTGTCTAGTGTGCACTGAGTCTTATTCAGACAGTCTTCCAGGAGAAGAATGGATACAGTGCTCCAGTTGCCGAGCATGGGCTCACATCAATTGCACTTCTGGTGTCAATACTGTGTATATTTGCATGAACTGTGACAGTGACTAAACTAATTACCTAAATCACTTTTCTTGTTATTTCTTTAACTTTAATTTTATTTCTATGAGACGCCTTAGAAATTCGATTAGGTATTTCATAATTTTTACGTGCAAATGTTTGTTTTTGTTTCTATGAATAGTTTTAGAAATTTTGTTACGTTTCTGTTTCTATATTCCAGAAGTTTTAAAGTGTTAAGGTTTGAATAACGCATTGGCTCAAGTGACCCCTTTGGGTGGTTCACTAGACCCCGCCTGTGGGGTCTGATGAGTCATATGCCTCATCTGATTATATTGTAGTTTTTTCAAATTAAACAACGGATATGCCAAAGTATTTTGATCCTATAATGCGGTCAAGTAAATAAATGACTGATTTGAGATTAACTCGTTGCTATTTACTTCTTCTGACTGATCCTACACTGACTTGAACAAAAACCTGATCAAGTGACCCCGCTCTGCCCTACTGTAGTGTTATTTCTCGTTTCATTATCACAAAAGCATTATTAATTTTTTCTATTAATTGTTCTCTTGTATTAATTGGTTCGGAATACACTAGTGTTTTAGCACGGCCCCAGACGTAAGAATCAAGCGGGGTCAAGTTCGGCGATCTTGCAGGTCATGGGATCGGATCATTTTGTTATCTTCTTTTTCCATTGATTTAAGAAAGTTTGCTGCTTCACTGTTGCTTGTTCTTCAACTGTTTGTATCAGATGTTGGTTGAATCTGAATGAAGTAACCGTAGACTTGAGAATAAAATCATTTTTGCGCCGTCGCGACCCTAGATAGAAAAAATATTAAAACTCAAATTTAAAAACTGGAGATTTTCTAAAAAAAACATTATTTCTCCTTAAAACTGAAGCAAAATGTAAATTAATTAGGCGTTGTAAATAGGCAATAGCCTCAGCCCTCCGCCATTTTCGTTTGGCTACTTACCCTCCAACACCCTGTATATAGAGAAAAAGAGAAAATGATCATGTGCAGAAAGGCACGCCTATAACAAAAAATATGAAAATAATGGGCAAAATTCGCAAAAAGGAGAAAAGTGGATTAGAGCTGAAAACAGGATAGGTAATCCGAGCAATACGTATTTCTGCTTGTTGGCTCTATCAGCCCCGAAATGAATGTACATGTGCAACTACAAAAGTCGATACACATGTCCATATATCCGGATACGGGTGTAACCTGAGGAAACTAAGATGGAGAGGAAAACAACCGACACAACAAGAGCCAACCTACACATTGTAGCATAAAATGGCTAGAAGACCCCGAATTTTCAAGGCGACATCTAACCGCAACCACGCGGCCGGTTATAGCCACTTGCTGTGGTACTCCAAGCCCAAAGAATCTACAAAGAGGAAATGATCATGCGGAGAAAGGTATACAACAAAAAATAAGGAAAATAATTGCCAAATTCCGCAAAAAGCAGGAAAGTGGATTTGAGCAGAAAATATGATAGGTTTCTCCTCTCTCGATCTTTGTTTCCTCAGGTTTCACCCGTCTCCGGATGTATGGGCATGTGTTTCTACTCTTGCAGTTGCATATGTGCATTCATTTCGGGCCTGATGAAGCCAACCAGCAGAAATACGTATCGCTCGGGTTACCTATCCTATTTTCCGCTCGAATCCACTTTTCTTCTTTTTGCGGATTTTGCTCATTATTTTCCTATTTTTTTGTTAAATAGAAAAAAGGGACTGCACCTAAAGGGTAAGTAGTCCTGATAGCGCTACTTAGCTAAGTGACCAGTTTCTCAGCTAAGAAGCCAATGTTCTAAGTAGCTACGACATATACAAACATATCTCTGGATGGCGAAATTATACAGATACATGAATCGGTTAAAAACTTAGGTATGTTTCTTAACTAGTGTCTGAATTTCATTCCACATGTGAATCATATTTCTAATAGTTGTTTTTCAGTACTCCGCCAGTTCTACCTGAATAAACATATTTTAGATTACAAAACTATGGAAATTCGCTCGTTTCAAAACATTACATGCTGCGACACTGTTTACCATTCACTTCCAGATTCGACATCTATGAAAAGCTTACAAAATTATTGCTGCTGTCGAGGACTTGATTTGGCACGAACGCAGCTCGTCAATCGTCGCAGTGTTGACAAAAAGTTTATTATTAATATATCAAACATCCCTGTACCAATTATGTTGAATTTTGATAGTACTCTCACCTGCAATAAGACGTTAAGTTAGCACTAACTGAAAGATAATTATGAATGTCAGTGGCGACTCGGATGGCAACCTCTCGAATCATATTGAAAAAAAAAATATATGCCACTGGCTTTTTCGGATTAAGCAGCTCATGATACAACTTTTTTGTTTCTCGTATCTCTTGGGATGCTACTTCGATCTCGAAGCAAAAATATAAACAGCTTCATTACATATCGAAAATTTATTTAAATAACATCAAATTATCTTTGATCGTTGCTTGGAAATGTTGTTATGCTGTTATAAATATATCTTTTACTTGCCGTGACAATTTGCTATTATTTTTATCGTCTGTCAGAAAACATTTTTTTTTAAATTTTGTACATTGGAACCAGTAGTTAGAGACGTAGAGAAGGTAGTAATAGAAAGAGTACTTACCTAATGTTCTGAAAAGCACTGTATATGCAAAGGCTACCACATGTAACCCATGTTCCTGAAATTATTCATTTATTTTCCAACTAGATTTTATCCATGCAAATTAGCGTGGTAAAGATTAGACTTGCTAAATAACCATGAAATACAGAATATCCACTGTTCCAAACTAAAACCCCAAATAATACCTCGACCAATTCATTTTCTTTCTTGTTCTGTACCATGTCAACATAAATAACGTAGAATTAGGCAGAGTACGTAATTTAGCGCCAGATACTGTTTCAAATTAATTCACTGTAGTGACAGAATAAGGACCCGTTCGCAACTCCTCCCAATTGAATAAAAAGTAAGGGATAACCAGTTTATGTTTAATGATAAATGCAAAAAATCGAATCTTGTATGTTAACTGTGCACTTTCCATGCCCCTTATCATCAGTTCATAAAAATATAATCGGTAAAAGTTAGTTTCCATCGAATGGATCGAGTCAGTCAAATAGGTCTATACAATCCGTTTCAACCCACAACAGCAGACAACGGCAACGCTGCGATCAGAATTAGATGAGTATTTTTCTCATACTCCTTGAACGCGCATTGGATATCAAAGTAAAATTTGACTGCATACTATGGTACCTTAAGAACTGGTTAGAGACTATTTTTTGGGTGCTAGTAAAAAAAGATGAAAAACCTGGTGATAACACGAAATTCCTGCAGTGCTTCAGAGTTTCGGTGCTTTTTTGTAGTTCAATGTAACTTAGACTGTACACATTGATTTTCAAAAA